TAAATATAATGAAATATCAAGAAAATAAAAACTGATAAATTGAATAAATTAGATTTATTAATATAGATTTGTGGGTTGACAAATGAAGAATTTACCTATGGTTTATGAGTCGAAAATTGTATTATACAAATAAAAAATAGCTGCGCGGTGTTGTCGTGCAAAACCCGGAATGAAAGATGTGGGAAAGTATTACATTTAGTAAAGTTGTATGTTGTATAGCAATTAATAAAATATTTTTTGATAAATAACGTACAAGAAATATTAGAGCTGATATATAACATAAGAGTACAATCCAATATAGCATATTTATTATTAACCCTTTAAACAATTCTTTAAATTTGAATTTTAAACACTGGGTATGTATACCGATAATACAATATGTCTGCCTAAAATTGATTCTTAATACATTTATTCATCACCACAATAACTATTTAATAACTGACATTTTTCACAAAGGTCTTGTCTATGACCCTTCAACATTCTTCCACTACGCTCACCGGCAAACTGAGCAAATTCTTCCCTATAAAAACTATAAATCAATCTCTGTTTAACTCTTTCTTTAAGAAATTTAGTCAATAATTTTTCCCTATCAAATCGAGCACTTTGATCACATTTTAAGCATTGCAAATGATATTTTCTCACTAGAACTATTTTTTTAGTTTTTACTTTTAAGTCAGCATTGCATAATGAGGAAGAAAACTGATGTCCACATCGACAAGTTAAATGCCAATGGAATTTAATGCCCACCATACGACCATTTCCTGAGGCCAAAATTTCAGACATATTCACCTCTTCAATTTCGTGAGAATCCTTTAAGTGGCTAAGAAATTCAGGAAAGGATTGGAGTTCGTGTCCACATTTACAAAAAAATTTATAATACTCGTAATTACTTTGGGATGACATTTTCTTCTTTGGAAGGTTCGGTAAGTAAGAACTATTGAGGCCTTTTTTTGAAGAACAGGGACCTTTTTATTGAAAAACAGGATAGTTGTTATTCTCCTCTTTGGATTGCTAGGAAGTATTGGAATTCTTCTGTTTAGGAAGAAAGGAACAAGGTGTTTTAAAATACCAAACACTGTCATATTTCTTTGTGATTGTATTTAGGATATTAAACAATCATCCGCTTTTGTTTCCCTACAGTTATAGTGTCATGTGAGAATTACTTATGCCTTAAATATATCAATATCGACAACGTAATACGTATGCACAAGGGAAAATATTTATTTGTGCCCAAAAAAGGAAACTTAACGCAAAAAATAGTCAAGCTCATGAAATTAGGAATTTATGGTTGGGACGTTAAAGTTAGTGATAGGAGCAAATAGTATGTAAAATTCTAATTTCCGTCATTTTTAATTAGTATTTCAAGACAGGTTTCTTGTATTTTCTCTTGTTTCGTTTTTTTTCCCCCTATTTTTCTTCACCTTGCTCACATGTCAGGTCAGGATAATTAATTTTGCGTTTCCGGTTGGTTAAATACCATTTTTGGGGTTGTGTGATCACATAATAACAATAATTACTCACATGCACGTATCAGTACGTACGTACGTATTAGAAAAAACATGATACAAACATAAGTTGTTATTGTTGCTTAATAAGGAAAGTTTGATAATTTATCTGACATAGTATAATAATATATAGCTAACGTTAACATTATGCTATATTTTTTCATCTATTGTAACGAATTGTAAATTTGGTTTCTAAATATTTGTAAATAAAACCTTTATTTTTTTTATTTTCTCAATAAGCTATCCGAATGTACATAGTATATTTGTATTAACAATGTCCAATTTTGGTAAAACTATTATGTTTCGTGATAATTAATTACTTATACCAAAATAGAAATAGAGATGGTGGCTTAGTGGCTTAGCACATGTGAAATCGCGTATACGCGATTACACACCAATTTGTTGATCCCTGCGCTTGAGCGTATACGCTCAAATCCAGGTGTATACACCCAAGAAATCGCGTATACATTCAAATTAAAGTGTATTCCTCAAATTTGAGCGAAAATGTCTTATAGATAAAAAAATGTATATAAGCACTTCGAGTTCGACTGTTTTTCTCATTACCAAGAAATAATAACTCAATACTCAATCCGACGGACTGAATTGACTTGTAACTTTGATTCGGCTTATTAAGAAATATTGCCATTCACGTTGGTGACTTGTGGAATTGTGGTAGAGAACGACTCTTACGATTGGTTATTCGACTCTGTTGATCATCACGTAAACTTAAAGTTATCGCTGATATCACTTAATCATCGTCCGCTTTTACATCATCACTTCAATAAGATATAACCAAATCATCATCACCGTCCTTAAGATCATAGCTTTATTATCACTCTTAAAAGCATCACCCGTCATTGCATCCCATCTTATCACCTATTGATATCAAAGTATTCATCCTATAGCAACATATCGTCCATTTAGTCCTCTAACAATTTTCAAATACATTTCGTTTACCGAAAGTTATCATTATTTCCCCGTACACCGTTGGAGTTAAATTGGCCCTTCGTTCATATAATTTTTTTGAGCTCTCCCATCAACGGTTACACTATCCTTTCGCATAAAATTATGCAATAAATTACTTTTATAGATTTTATTACATTCTATAAAGAACGCTTAACTCAACATGGCAGAATTATCAGCAAACCAAAACAAATCAGCAATATGCTATTGAAGAGAATTCCACCAAACTAAGATATAGTAAGTTTTAATCTAATAATTTTTATAATTAACATTTGATTCTAAATGTTTTCGAAAAAGATATCATCAATAGAGTACAATAATATTTGTTAGTAATATCTTTGTAATAATTAAAAAAGTAATTCAAGCCTTAATATGACGATATCTTTAATTTTTTCATTTAAATTTGATTGCACTAAACTTATCATGACGCTAATGCTAAGCATAATCGTAACAAACAATATGTGGCATGATCTAAAAGTAGTGTTACGATTGGGGTACCGGAAAATTAACTGTAACACAATTATTATGCAATTAAAATTGTTATTGCAACCAATTAATAATGAAACTTTTGCTTTCACCATAAACTTGCTATGATATAAAGTTTTAGACTTTAAAATATTCTATTTCGAAACTGCACCCAAATACAGATATACAATAAAATTGCTATTGACTGCAATCGTATATAGAAATTTATTGTTTAGTTTAGTGAACATCTTCGATCAACCACATTTTGCTGTTTATTGTCCGAAGCATAGCGAGGAACCATATTTCAGTATTTCCAACACATCTATGCAATGTCCGTTCGATTACACAAATAAAAATCGTGGATTTTGGGTCCCGTGAGCAGGGTTGTTAAATTACCGTAATTTTAAATTTTTTTGGTAAATTACCTGAGCTATTCGGTAAATTACCTGTAAATTTACCTTTAGTTATTTTGAATAACAATATAAATCATGTGATTTGATGGCTAACAATTTTTTTTAGCCAATCAAACAATATAATTTGCAGATAGATCTATGAATATAAGATAAATTTACCACACTTTCGGTAAATTACCTGGTAAATTACCGTAATTTACCGATGGTAATTTACCACCTGACAACCCTGCCCGTGAGTGATTTGCAGTCAGTGTAGCACATATCATAAAGATTTTTATTTTTCTATTCTGACCTACATTAGATTCGAATTTTCTAGTTCTTAGCAACAGCAGAGACAGTGCCCGATCCAAAGTGAATCCCTCTCGCCTGTGATCAATCACAAATTAAATTATTTATG